ATGATTGATACGCGATGATCCGCTGATGAATTCAGGGTCTGAGAATTATTTTAATCATGGATCCAATGGACCAAACTGGCTTTCAGTGGTCAGTCACCTGTTGCTCAAATTGTCTTCAGGCTTGTCGAATTTCCTTTTAGGCAAACTGTAGCTTCTCCTTGGTTTCCCTTTGACATCTTCTAATCACTTACAGGACCCGCAGGTAACTCTGCTCGCCCTGCATCTGATTTTTAGCTGATTGGTTTTTGACATTTTTGGATCTTCTTCAATTACATTTCTTTTCTGATTTTCTACTTCTGGTTTCCATTTAAAGCATCTGAGACCATTTGAGCTCTGCAGCCTCATTTTCTGGATGTAATCATATGGTTTCCCCTCTTCAATCAATTTCATTGTCAAAGTTCTCTGTTCCTCTGTAACTTGTCTCAAGCAACCAATGTTGCTTAAACGTTCAGAGGAAAAATGCATCATAATCTTGTTGTTCTATATCTTTTGCTTTCAACCTGAAATATTTGCTTCCTGTTGGGCCTCATTAAATCATATACTCACTACTTTTATTTTAAATATTGGGGTGAAATGTTTAATTGAAGCTGCTCTCCTGTAATTGATTACTGTCATTACTAGTATTGAGATATTCATGTAGTAATGATTAAAAATAAAGCAGTTTTTTGTATCAAAGCAGGAAGTATTATGTCGCCCCCGGAAGATTGTGTGGCCAACATGGCGGATATAAACACGGAAGCGGTTAAAATACTTAAGAATACTTAAGAATCTTTATCAAGTGAGCGATCACAAAAATAATCCTGTTGACGAATATGTCCTGCCCCTTATGTTGGCCCCTGATGATTTTTTCTCTTTAGATCAATGCATTGCTGCACTAGCCTCGTGAGACCATCCTGATCTTGCAAGCATTCAAGGTTTCACTCGCAGATCAGTCTGGAGACTCTCCGTTAAAGAAAATTTGGAGCCGTTCACCAAATGAACGTCCAATCAGCGTTGGCTTTGAGGCGGGTTGAGGTGTGACGCAACGAGAAGCGCGACAGTTCAGCCTAAAGAACATGGCTGCTTCAGCCGATGAAACTAGCGTTAGCGTGGCTATCGAGCAAGTTTTATCGGAATTACAGAGTATTTCTTCACTGAAACAAGAGCAAAACACTGCTCTGGAGGCTTTTCTCAGAGGAAAAGATGTTTTTGCTCTTCTCCCGACTGGTTTCGGCAAGAGTAGCCTGGCTTGTGGTTGTGTTTTCGTCGTCGCTCTGTTAGTACGTCATATGCTTCGTTGATCTGATTGGTTTATTTGGCCCGTCTATCACCAACATAGGCCAATCAGCTAACCAGTATTTTCGCCCCTTCCCAAAATTACTTTAACGGAAGGTTTCCAGATGGATATGCGGAGCAAATCCATCTGGCGGAGTCAGGTTATTGCTGCACATCTGCGTAGAAAGAATTGTCGATCAAAACATAAACATAATCCTTTTAGCCCCTGTTAGACGAGAACTCATCATGCAGGATGTCACCGGTTTCATGGCTGAATCCGAAGCATTCTGTTGTTATGGCATTTGCTCTAGCTTTAACTGAAAACATTTTTGCCATTTTGCCGTTCGTTAATATTAACCATTCAGTCCTTGCTGGGAAAAAATGACGGCTCAGTTCCTCTTTACTAACTTTTTATGGCATCTTCAAGCAAAAAGCTTTTCGATTGATTGAAAACTGTTGGATCTGTTGGTCTTCTGTTAAACCTAATAGTTAATAATTTTTAATTTAGAACATAGCTTTTGCTACAAAAGGTGGCTGATCAGATTAACGATGGCAGACTGTTTGCCCCTAGTATTTGTGAAGAGAAACTACAGTTTCTGATCTGTCAAAGTGAGGAACTTTTGATCAATATGGGCAATTTGATAAGAAAAAAAATTGAGCAAGAGTTGATAAAATAATAGCTTTTTCTGATTGCAGTGATTGCAAGCATACGTGTACAACAAACAGGAAATAGACCAGACCAAGCCAACCATATTAGCTGCAGATATGCCACGGAGAACTTTCCCATGCTTTATAGTTCCTCAGATGTTGGGAAGAAGCTGCCCGTCTGCAGAAAGAAGGCCTTTAGGAATCAGGGAATTCCCACCGTTTAGCCCCACAGTGAAGGTATCTGTCGGTGGTAAACAAGCGTGCTGTTTTGTTCCCATAAACCACACGTCGCCTCCCTTGCTGCCCACCTTCCTTCCTGGCCCTTGTCATTAATAGAGAATTAAATGGCGCTCATAGTCCCAACATCTGGGAACAAGTCTCCAGTTAAAGGTGCTGCCTTCCATGTAATTACCCCCTGGTAGCATCAAAGCTGATGACCATGCTCTGCATGTTGAGGTATAATTTTTAACGTGTGGCAAATTTGTAGCCAGCATTCCTCTGTGTCCTTTGTCTGCTACTGGATAATAGATGTAAAGGCTTTAAAAGGAAAATCTGAATTCCAAATGCTTGGTTTGATCACTTTTTTAATTTGATGATGTTTATTTTGCATGGCATGACAGTATGCACATATTTTTCAATAAGGCAGGTGTTCTGGTTTCCAGTGTTTTGCTTTCACTGGTTTATTTGAGTCGTGCAGCTTGTTTTCAGATGCAGCGACTCGAAACGGGAATCTGGATGATGGAGGCGGCTGGTTTGTAATCAGCATGTTTTCAATCGGTGGGTTAAAGTGAAACCATTTCTGATTGCTGTAATTACTCCTCCTCTTTATACTCCTCATTTAGCTGGCTTTTAACCAATAAATCTCCAGTGTTGGTGGTAGGAGAGAATTCCCACTTGAAAGCAAAACTCTGGCTAATTTTATGTGTTATTTTCTGTCATACTAATTTTGAGGATATTTTGCTATTTTATTGTCTTTGATTACACAAAGCTATTTCTTTTACTGTCCTACTTACCTTTCTTAATGTGTGGCTGACGAAATGTTTTAGTGGAGATCTGGTATAAATATATTCCTCAGAAAACCGTTATATAGAATAAGAATATTGATATAAGTGAGAGACTATGTTCTTTTTTTTACTTCCAGCTGCAAAGTAAATTTTGTGTTTAAGCTGATTTCTTAAAGGGATAATATTTTTTGTATTTCTGCTTCTTTCTGTATCTCTGCTTCTGTCTCCTTGAACCCAAGTCGGCGTCGGCAGATGGCCGCTCACACTGAGCCTGGTTCTGCTGCAGGTTTCTCCCTGTTAAAAGGGAGTTTTTTTTTCCTCCCCACTGTCGCTACAAGCATGCTAACTGTGAGGGATTGTTTCGAATCATAGTTGATGCAATCAACTGGTTTTCCTTAGATAGAACACCCGTAGCTGCAGAGTTAGCAAACCTGAAGCTTTATCTGCCATTTGGTTTCTTATTTGTTCTTTCAAAAGCAGTTTGTTTATTGGTCTGGTCACTATGGGGCAAATGTACCATCCAGGAAGTAGATGTTTCCTAAAAGGTTAAGGTTAAATTATGTGAGACACCCTGTAGATCTGTTGGAACCAATGATACTGTATGGTTCTCATAAACTGTGTACGGTTCCCTTCAAACCATACAGATTTTAGTCCAGACTTTAGTGGGATTGATCCCATCTTCATTTCTGCAAACAAAAGGAACCAACATTTCCCAAACAGCCAAATCGTATTCATGTTGTCAATATCAGCAACTCTTTGGAAAGAAATGACATCCACCTTAGTATGGAGAATTTACATATAAGAAAGTGTTTAAAAATATCCATATTACAGAAGCTTTAAAGAATTTAGAAACACCACAGATCCCTCAATTGTGCTTCATGTTGACCATAGAAAAAAAAAAAAAACGAAAATGGAAAAGCTACGTTAAAAAAAAAAGTTGCTGTTTCCTGTCTAACTTTTTTGGGGATTAGTTCTGCCCATTCTTGATGCCTGTACTTTGACCACTGTAGGTCATTGAAAGATCTTGACTTAACGGTCATTGTATTATAGTGTAGATACTGTCTTGTCATTGTCTTGTTTGGACCGATCTTCTGCAGAAGTTTTGGTCTAAACAGAGCAATGAGGAAGAGGCGTTAATAACGCAGTCAATACCTACAATGTGCCAGAAAAGCTTTTGATCATCACCCTTCCACCACCGTGCTTGATAGTTGGGATAAAGTGATGCTGTGTGAAGTTTTCTCCAAACATGGAGCTGTGTATTGTTAAACATAATCTGTCTGGAGGATATGGTAAAAAACGTAGACGTTCCAGCCTGATGTTCTTAAAGTGGAAACCAGCTGATGAATGTTCTCTTTGGTTCCTCCCAATCAGCCATCCTGGTTCAGTCTTTTCCTGTTAACCTACTGAGGCCTGACCTAAAAGGTTTTGAGTTTGGGGATATTTCACATCTGCTGTGACGTTGAGCAGATTGGCAGCTGCCCTCTATGTTTTTGACTTGGAAATAATGGTTCGCTCTATAGAACGATGGACCTCAGATGGTTTGGATGTTGCCTTAAAACCATTTTTTCGATGGATGGCTGCTTATTTAAGGTCATTGCTGATATTGTTCCATCTTGGCTTTGTGTTAAAACATACCTGCATCCTCCAGAGCCAGAGCCAGATGAAACCCCAAAGGATGAACAGTTAATCATTAAATCTGATCAGTAGGACCTGGATCCTTCTTTCTTTCTTGAACCTTGTGGAAGCTGCAGTTTTTATGCACAACCTTTCAGATTTTCTGTGTTGGTAGTCCACCTTTAGCATCATTTTTTGATGAATATATTAATAGATTTATTCAGTGTCCTTTTAAGCTGATAAACATTGATGGCTTGTGCCCGATAACTCAGTTCCCCTCGCAGCCCTCAAACCTGACTCCATGTTTTAGTCAATAGCCTCTTTCATGGGAGTTTCTCTCTTGTGGCAGCTGTGCAGAAAGTGAGAGTAATGGTCTTTATGTTGCGGGGGGGGGGGGCCTCATATTAAATCTGTAACTTGAGAAGCTGATAACAAGCAGAGAACGAGGAATGAGCTTATGAGGACGGAGGGTGTCAGACTCAGAAAAGGCTTTAGTTTCTCTGCTTCTTGTCTCATTATGTGGGAAACGGAGTATTTTTGTTTTTCCTAATTCGTTTCTCCGTTTGGGAGGAGGGTGAAAACGGCTCGAACAAGAGGGAGGAGAAAGCCCTGGCAGCGAAGGAGAAGGGGAGCAGCCAGACTTTGCCTGCTTATTCAGCTTTGAGTGCTGCACTGCGCCGCCTCCACTTGTGGGATGTTCTCATTCTCCTTTGGCTGCACTTCTCCTCCACTCGCACATTAGGACTCCTGAGGAATTTTTATGCTCATTTTCTTGGAGGAGGGCTAAGAGAGGGAGAGACTCTTCAGCCCTGATAGCTTAACACACACACTTTTCCTCTCTTAACCTCCCACATACATACAGTGGTACTGTACGCTGCTCTGGCTCTGCGCTGCACCAAGGTAACTGAGTGGATCTAGCTTTAACCATCTGGTCGGAGCTCACAGGAAACCTGCTCAGAGGAGGTGGTGGGGAGGGAGGGAGGCGAAGGACGATGCAACACTAAAACACAGAACAGCAAAGAGTGAGAGCGATCCACAGACAGGCAGCGATCCGGACAGGATGGCCACAGCAGTGTTCCAGGTGAGCAGAGTGGAGGGGATGCTGTCCCTGTGTGAGGATGGAGCCAAGATGAAGTTATATCTGTTTGTTTCAAAGGTGCATGTTTCACGCGTGCATTGAGGGTGAAATGCTGATACAAAGTTCATGCAAGGGGCTGGTTGGGATGTGTGAGTGTGCAGTTAGGAGTTGCACACTGTATTAATGTAATCTTTGTCTTTATGTAACGTAAAGCTCTGCTTGTTTCTCTCCGTGTGTGGTCTTCTTGGCTTCCCATGTGGTCGGTGGCTCGCAGTCACAAATGGAAGGACTTTCTATTTGTTTTTAAATCTCTCATTGTTTGATGAGAATCCCCCCCGAAGCCTTTTTGTTAGAAAGCAGTCGGCCATTCATTAAAGCGTACGTGTCTCTAAGAGATTTCAGCCTGGGTGAGCCTGCAGCCGTGAACTTGCCCGCAGCGTTTCACAACGGGAGCCTGCAGGAATTTGTTGCACATAAAAAAAAAAAGGCCCCAGGTGTGAGAAAACCTGGGAATGCTTTGGGAAATCTCTGCTATGACAGGGAACCACAGTTGCCTCCTTTTTATCCTTATTGAGGGGTAAAGAAGGATGCAGACTGTGTAAAAACCTCAAGTTGCGTTCCTGCAGAGATTTGCAAGGCCAGCTGTTCAGAGACAGCTGCTCAATTTGTATCAGCAGATTACAGCAGTTTTAAGAATGTATCTCTAAGAAGGATGCTTTGCATTAATTCTGCCGATGCAATTTTTTTTATTTCTATGTTTTGCGTTCCTGCAGTATGAAGACAAAACAGGCACATATTATGGAAATTCTGTGTTACACAAACCTATACTGGAAAAAAAGAAATAACTGGCTCATGATAAGACTCCTAAAACATGATCAGTGTTTGAATCATTTCCATTTATGAAATAATTCACATTGTCTTTATTCAAAATAATTAACAAATATAAAAAATATGACTTTATATCAAGTTATATACCGAATGGAAAAACAGCTTTTAGTGCATAAATAAACTACGTTGAAGTGATACAAATGGTATCTAGATAGATATTACTGTCCAATATAATATTTCTGTTATATTTGGTTACAAATATTTACTCAAAATAAACGTTGAATAGGTATTTTTTGCCCTTTTAAAACTGTGAAAAAGCCATACCACTGATATTACTTCTCTGGTTCAGTTGAATGCATCACAATCCTGCACTGCGTCACTATAACTCGCTCATAGCCAACACTAAACCCATCCCCTGTAGAGATGCGTAAAACATCAGCTGCTTATGGAAATAAGAGATGTGGGTATTTTAGGAATTCTTAATAAAAACAATAAATAAGTTGCTGGTTCAATTCCTCCAGCACCCTGATGTTCAAGCACACTGCCTGCTAGCTCAGTTCTAACATCCAATGATTCCTGATGTTTTATCGCATTTTCTCAAAGCCAAAACCCAGGATTATCTTTTAACGTTGTATTTTATTGCTAAGTCATTAAAAAAAAAAATTAAAAATTAAAATGGGCTAGAAAAGATAGGTTAAAGTAAAATGAGTGAAGTTTTGTCTTAAAAGGTGAAATCCAAAAAATGCAAAACCACCAGAATGAATTTGTTAAAACTAGAAGTCATTCTTAAATAACTTAATCTCAAAAGTTTGATATTGAAACTCTGTGCTGATAGACGATGTTATCATCCATAGCTAAGGCTCTATCAGAACAAAATCCTGATCTACTACTAGAAACAGATCCAACTGGATCTGGTCAGAACAAACATTTACCGGTAAGAAAACCTTGTTTAGAAGCATAAAAACGACATAAAACTGTGTGTAACAGCCTGGATGTCTACATTGGTTTTTGAGGCCCTCTTTATTAGTGGGAAAGGAAGTGGTTCTGGTGTTGACAACAATGAATGGTTAAAAACATTTTGTTTGGATGATGAATGTGTTGACTTTTAAATTATTTGGCTGCATTTTCCACAATGGATGGATCTCGCTGCGAGAATAAATTGACACGCCGCTTAAAATGCTAAAGTTTGCGTCTGCGTTGTAGCTTCCAATCATCACTAAATTAAAAGGTTATTTCATGGGTAAACTGATCATGACCTGTCCAACATAGAAACCACCTGCTGACCAAATCTGAACCAGAAACTTTTTATGCCTATCATAGTTTATGAAATAGCAGTTTTCATCACTCTGTCTGGGTTTAAAGTTGTCACTGCTAATCTAACTTTTTTTGTTTTCTTTCATTAAATAGGCCTATCCAAAGACTTTTTGTACTGAATTAATGTTTAAGTAAAACTAAAAATAAAAAAAAACTGCCATGTGATGTGGGTATTATTCTTAAATGAATGGCCATCTGTGTTTCTGGGAATAAAGCCTCTATATGACAGAACTTCAACCTATATATTCTCCATCATGCTTTTCTTATGAAAAAGGTTGGAGGAACACGTAGAGCTGGGGCGTTTAGGAAGGTGTGAGTGGATCGGCCGTCTGTCTGGGATTTAGGATAAGGCAGCAGTTCAGGGACCATTGAAAATCAAAAAAAAAAAAAACACCAGAATGAATTTTCATGCTCTTCTGCTGATGTAATGCCTCTGGGGTGTGTGTGTGTTTTCGACTATTTGTTGGGACCATTTTTATCATTTGTATTGCTGTGAGGACCCTTTGAAAAATGCTACTTTGGGGTTGGAGGTTATGTTATAGACTAAGGTTTGGATTTAGTTCATGTTTAGGTTTTGGTTAGATATCAATGGAGGAGTCTTTCTCAAGATAGTAGAACCAGACGTGTGTTTATTTGAGTTGGTATTTTAATCCCTTCAGACACAGATCAACTTTTTGCATCACTGTCTGTAAAAATAAGCAATGCCTCATCTACAGTTTCTTTTTAATTATTAATAAGGGTAATAACGCATGCTTTTAATTTTACACGTTGGGTTTTATCTCCAGCCATAACTCTGGAGGCCTGCTTTGCACAAATGCAATGTGTAAACAGCAGTTTCTTTACACCACTTGTTCTCTGGGCTCCATTCTGCACCTGCAGGACTTTGCAGACATTAATAATCTGTAGCACTGGCAGAGCTTTGTGCTGTCCACTCCTGCTTTTAGTGTAATTAATAGCATCCTGCCAACGAAGAGTAAAAGCTTTGTTTATAAAGAAATTGCGTATGGTAGTTAGTCAGCAGAGTCAGAAGCTACTGTCCCAGGACATGGAGCTGCATACAGTTATATATGGAAAATCGAATAATATTCTATTATAACTAAACAGCTGGCGTGCAATGAGTGTTGGCTTATTATTTGACAGCTATGTACCCAGGTTTCCTTTGGCTGCAAAACTTTTTAATCTTTTCTCTTTTATACAACAAAATTTGGGAAAAAAGTAATGTTATTGCTATATTCACTATTTATCAGCTAATTTACCCTACATTCAATCTTGCAAGGACCACAAAAAGGTGCTCTGTAAACCACTAAACCCTGCACTACTGTTGAATGGGGTCAGAGTTTTAAATAAATTCAACAAGAAATCACATCAAGCCAGTTTTAATATTGGTTTATATTAATTCAATGACAGGGTTTTTATATGTATGGTATTAACCACATGGAGGTTCATTTGTTGACCGCTGTTTTGATTAATAGATAATTAGTTTGGTAGCAAAAGGTGCTTACAGAGGTTTTATTTAATAGAATGTGAACCAGATGATGCAGAAACTACCCGCCCATGAGCTTTTCTTAGCAGATCATATTAATAATAGAAAAACACTCTTTATCTTAAATGTAAAATCATTTTTTTTCAGTGAGTAGCTGGTTTTATAGCTTATATAGTCGAGTTAATGTTTGGATTCATTACCAAATTATGATGATTGTTTCAATCTATAAATGGTGATTGGATCTCTCAGCCCTTATTAGAAGAGTTGTTCCTCTCCATTGTCACCAAATGCTTTTGGAGAATAAGTGATTTCTGCAGGTCTGTGAGTCGATGAAATGGCTCATGAACTAGAGGATGATTTAGAAATTAGTATCACATGATATGCAGAATAGGTGGTTTTATAATGAAGATTGAATTGGACCCAATGTAATAGGATTTGAGTCAGACTATATGATTAGATCTTTATTGAAAGGAATTGCTTTAGTTTTAATTACATTTGATCAAATTGGATTCTGTGTTCTTGGACATGAATATAGTCCGTTTGTCTTTTAAAGAGTTCAAGACATTTGCCGGAAGTTAGCGCCGTTTACTTAAACTACATTGATGAAGCATCCCTCCATCCTTTATAAGCCTGTCTGGCTTCAGGATCAGGTGGAAAAGGCACTGAAGGGTCATTTAGTTTCAGGTCTCCTTTGGTTGTTCAGTCAAATCTGCAGGGAGAGATACATTTTATAGCTCAAATGATATAAAAAAACATACTCTGCTCTGTCATTATACTGAGAAAGTGTCAGATCTCACAATTATATCATCCCAGTTTTTTTTTTTTAAATGTGTCCTAAGCTGTCGTAAAACGTTGCAGTTTGGATTTGGATCAAACCAGCCTCTTGATATCTGATGATTGGTGTATGGATGCTGATGAGTGGAAGGATGGGTGTTTGATGGATATTCAGTTAGCGGGTTGGATGACCTGATGGGTAGATGGGTCAACAGACTGTTGATGAACCCGTAGCAGGATTGATTGGTCTTTTTAGACTGTAGAAGGGAAAGAAATATCTCAATGCAGAAATATTTCTGATTAATCCCATTTTCCAGAAGAGTAGAGTTCATTCCAGGTCCCATTCCAGGTTCTCAAGACAGCAATGTGACGTGCTAAAACTCCTTCGGGTATCGGAGAGATTTTTGTTCAATAACATCCTTCAGATTATTCAATATACTGGCAGAGTGATGTTTGGACCCACCCAGTGTAATCAAAGAAAACTGAAAAAAGCTGCAGTTCTTTTCCATATGACTGAGCATCCATGTGAACACTATGTGAAGTATGTGGCTACGTTGGTGCCAGCAGGCCATGCAGAGGGTGGAGAACGTGTTTTCTTCTTTCT